AGAGAGAGAGAGAGGAGAGATTGTTGGTCGCACATGCATGTCAATGTTTGAATTTAATCTTTTTTGCAAATGGATTTGACTTGACATTTTGAGGGTGTCTATGAGACAATTCAAAAAATATTAAAAATAACATGTTCCTCAATAGCATTCCTTGTGCATATGATTCTTTTATATTTTTCATTTGTGCACCTAGGTTCAGCACAAGTCTCCTTAATATTTCAGCTGAAAATGATTTATAAAAATGACTAAGAATGAAAGGTTACCCATACATGTTGGCCCTTGGATGTGCCCATATCGAATCTGAGCCATCTGGTCTTATTCCATTTAATGGGCAGACCAGCTCACGAAGAGCTTTCCTACTCTCTCTCAACAGTTTCATAGTAGGTGAAACCAACTTCAAAAACCATTTTAGAGGCATATTTTTTAACCCAAATTTTTAATATACAATTCTTTCAACTTGATGAACAATAATACACCCTAAACTTATTTTTTCATACAATGGACATAGAACGTCCACTTGAAAAGATGGTTAGATTTGGGCCATTGGGGGATCATTTTTTTACCTAAACTTTTTTACAGCCTATAACAAAGAACCAATTTTAAAAACTAAAAATTGATTTTGAGTTCTTTAAGGCCTTGAACTCAATGTCCCTTGAATGAATGGTTGAGATTCATTGTTGGAGTGGACTCATTTTGATCTTTTCTAGTGGTGAATTTCTCTTTTAGACTGTTTGTTGGGATGAAGAGTGCATGGGCAAAATTTGGTGTGTTACAATTGCCCCTTACATAGTTTTTTGAATGAGTAGTTTCTTTATAGTATGATGAAACCATTGGAAGAAATCATATATAATATATGGAAAAAGTTTATATAAGGTTGTAACCTTATAATGTAGAGCTACAGATGCACCACAAAAATCCATCGGAAAAAGTAGTTTTAATGTTGAAAAACCCTTTGATTGATCATCTCAACATCGAGATGTATGACCATGAAAAATAAAAAGGTTTTAAGTCTCAGAAATAGTGCATTTTATAACATATTATCTACACCATCCATTTTCAAGATTGTCATATGTTTATAGATCTATTTGATTTTAACCATTTTTTAAATTTCTAATTTTATAATCAGATATAAAAATAGATTTTGAGATAATCCTAAGAACATTTTATATCAAAATTATATACCATGATAAAATTTGAAAGCACACCTTACCTCTACAGCTACTGATGCATTTGTATGCCAACTGCACCCATAATATATATATATACACACACACACACACACACACCAAAAGGTGGCACCTATAATAAATAGTAATATAAACAGAATCTCAACCGTCAGATCTTCATCGGGTGGTTCAAAATACATGTTACTATCTGAATTTTAATATTTATTTTTAGAAATCGGATCAAGATGAAATTTTGGGTATATATATATATATATATATATATATATGGGAAATGCTAGGTAGGCCAGTGGGCCTACAGCTACATATGAGCCCAACGGCTCCCAAATTGAATCGGAGCTGATTCAATAATCACGATTGTATTTCATATTTGAATTTTAATTATTTTCTATAAATCCAAATCACTTGAAATTTTGGGCGTGTGTTTCTTAAAAATAGGATAATCCAAATCCTTAAAAATAGGAGAATCCAATAAAAATATCAAAAAAATATTTCGTGAGGAATAAATTGACTAAAATACTCCGAAACTTTTCAAGGGTAGTTTAATCAATTTATCTCTCGTGAATTATTTTTTAATATTTTTAATTAAGTGCGCCTTGATGAGAAGAATAAACGCCTAAAATATCACTTGATTTGGATTTATAGAAAAAAAATTAAAATTAAAATACGAAATGAGGTCGTGTCCGTCAGATCAGCCCAAATTGAATCTAGGTCGTTGGATTCATATGTAGACGTAGGCCCACTGGCCTACACTAGCATTTCCTATATATATATATATATATATATATAAAGAAAAGTCTTCCCAACGCCTATAAGTGAAAATGAATAGTGATTTCGTCTACCCTCATCACCGTCCAAAGTTTACGGTTACGATTGTCCGTAGTGTTTCATTTTTTCATTTTTTTTTTACAAATTGGAATGATCTGAAATTTGGAGCGTGTGTACATCTTTGTAAGCCACACTTAATAAAAATATTAAAAAAAATAATTCGTGAAAAATAAATTGACCAAAATACCCTCGAAATGTTTTGGGGGTATTTTGATCAATTTTTTTATGTAAAATATTTTTTTGATAGTTTTCGTAGATTTTCTTATTTTTTGTAAACACACGCTTTAAATTTCATAACATTACGATTTGTAAGAAAAAAAATTAAAAATGAAACACTACTGGACAATCGTGACTGTGCGATGAACTTTGGACGGTGATGAGAGTAGGCGAAATTACTGCTCATTTTCGCCTATAGGCGTTTTGTAGTATCTTCCTATATATATATATATATATATAAAGCTGGCATATGCCCACTAGCCTGCATCTACATATGAGCCCAACGGCCCAAATTCAATATGGGCCAATTTGACGGTCACAACCTCATTTCGTATTTTAATTTTAAGTTTTTTTTTACAAATCCAAATCACATGAAATTTTAGACGTTTGTTTTTCTCATCAAAGCGCATTTAATAAAAGTATTAAAAAAATATTTCGCTGGATATAAATTGATCAAAATACCCCTGAAATGTTTCATGAGTATTTTGGTCAATATATTTTTGTAAATTACTTTTTTAATATTTTTATTAGATTCTCCTATTTTTAAAAAACACACGCTCAAAATTTCAAAAAATTTGGATTTATAGAAAAAAACTTAAAATTCAAATACGAAATGCAATCGTGATCATTAGATCGGCCTAGATTCAATCTGGGCCAATCTGACGGTTAAACCCTCATTTTGTATTTTAACTTCAATTTTTTTCGACAAATTCAAATCATATGAAATTTAGGTGTCTATTCTTCTCAATAATTCGCATGTAATAAAATATTAAAAAAAATAATTCGTAAAATATAAATTAACAAAAATATCCTTGAAAAGTTTTGGGGGTATTTTGGTCAATATTTTTTTTGATATTTTTATTCGATTCTCTTATTTTTAAATAACACACACTCAAAATTTCACGTGATTAGATTTATAGAAAAATATTAAAGTTCAAACACGAAATGCAATCGTGATCATTGGATCGGCCCAGATTGAATCTAGGCTGTTGGGCTAATATGTGGTGGTAGGCTAGTGGGCCTACGCCAACTTTTTCATATATATATATACAAATGTATATATACACCAAAAGGTGGCAACTATAATAAATAGTAATATAGGCGGAATCTTAGCCATCTGATCTTCATCGGGTGGTTCAAAATACATATCACTATCTGAATTTTGATATTTATTTTTAGAATCGGATCGAAATGAAATTTTGGGTGTATATACTTGACACCAGCATGCACCATATTTTTTTATATAAAAAAAATACTTTCAAGTATTTAAAATGACCAAATCACCCTCATCATTTTTAAGGGATATTTTGGTCATTTTATATTTTGGAAAATATTTATTTTATATATTTTCCTTGTGCTCCCTGTTTTTTTGTACACACCCCCAAAATTCATCACGATCCGATTTCTAGAAAAAAATATTAAAATTCAGATAGTAACATGTATTTTGAACCACCCAATGAAGATTTGACGGCTGAGATTCCACCTATATTGCTATTTATTATAATTGGCTATTGGTATCTTTATATATATATATATATATATATATATATATATACATATGAGT